CGGGACGGCCCCCCCTCCCCTCCCCCCTACCCCCCTCCCCCTCCCCCATCCACCGCTCCTCCTCCTCCCTCCTCCTCCTCCTCCTCCTCCTCCTCCTCCTCCTCCTCCTTCTCCACAATTACACAATATGAAAATACTCTCCCACTTCCCCTGATGGCGTCCCGAAGATATCCGACACCCCCCCGCGTATTGTTTTTTTACACACAGGATTCCCGGGAAACGGGTTTTCGCTTGTGTGTGTGTTTTTCAAAATGCTGCTCTCACAATGGCAATGGTAATGGTAATGACAATGGTAATGTGAATGGGAATGGGAACGGGAATGTGAATGGGAACGGGCATGTAAATGGCAGTGGTAGTGGTAACGGAAATGGGAATGGTAAGGGTAAGGGTAAATGCAAAGGTAGAGGTAAAGGTAAAGGTAAAGGTAATGGTAATGGCAATGGCAGTTGTAATGGTAATGGTAATGGTAATGGTATTGGGAATGGGAATGTTAATCGGAATGGTAATGGTACTGGCAACGGTAATGGTAGTGGCGAAGGGCAATGGCAATGGCAATGGTAATGGTAATGGTAGTGGCGTATGGCAATGGTAATGGTAGTGGCGAATGGCAATGGCAATGGCAATGGTAATGGTAATGGCAATGACAGTGGTAATGATAATGGTACTGGGAATGGTAATGGTGACGATAACGGTAATGGTAATGGTTATGGCAATGGTAACGGGGTAGCGATTGGCAATGGTAATGGGAATGGCAACGGCAACGGCAATGGCAATAGCAATGGCCATGGCAATGGTAATGGTCATTGTCATGGTCATGGTCATGGTAATGGTAATGGTAATGGTAATGGTAATGGGAACGGGAATCGTAATAGTAATTGGAACGGGAACGGGAATGGAAATGGTAGTGGTAGTGGGAAAGCTAATGGCAATGGTAATGGAAATGTTACTGGTAACGGTAGTGGTAATGGCAATGATGATGGGAATGGGAATTGTAATGGTGATGGCAGCGGTAATGGTAATGGTAATGGCAATTGTGTTGGTAATGCTAATGATAATGGCAATGGTAATGGTGGTGGCGAATGGTAATGGTAATGGGAATGGTAATGGTAACGGTAATGGTAACGGGGTAGCTACTGGCAATGGCAATACCATGGCAATGGCAACGGCACTGGCACTGGCAATGGCAATGATAATGGCAATTGTAAAGGCAATGGTAATGGCACTGGCAATTGTAATGGCAATGGTAATGGTAATGGTAATGGTACAGGTAAAGATAAAGGTAAAGGTAATGGTAATGTGAATGGGAATGGGAATTGGGATGGGAATGGTAATGGTAGTGGTATTGGGAATGGGAATGGAATGGGAATGGGAGTGGGAGAGATTGAGAGAGAGAGAGAGAACAACAAAACGAGAAAGGAAACATCAGCATAATGATGAGGAACAAACTGAGAGAGAGAGAGAGAGAAATGAAGAGCGACGGAGTAGATGGCAAGGGGACGAAGGAACGAAAGATATTAAGAAGATAATATGATGACGCAGAGAGATGGAAGAGCGTTTCACTCGATAAAAACCATATGAAAACGACGAGGACCCCCACAATCCCCCGGCCTCGAGAACCGTCCTCGGCCCTCCTCCTCCTCCTCCTCCCCCTCCCCCTCCTCCTCACTCCCTCCTCCTTTCCTCTTCTCTTCCTCTCCTCCTCTTCCTCTTCCTCCTCCTCCTGCCCCTCCCCCTCCCCCTCCCCCTCCTCCTCCTCCTCTCATCCTCCTCCCTCCTCCTCCTCCCTCCTCCTCCTCCTCCTCCTCCTCCCCCTCTCCCTCCTTTTCTCTTCTCTTCCTCTTCCTCCTCCTCCTCCTCCCTCCTCCCCCTCCCCCTCCCTCCTCCTCCTCCTCCTCCTCCTCCTCCTCCTCCTCCTCCTCATCCTCCTTGACTCCCTCCTCCTCCTCCTCCTCCTCCTCCTCCTCCTCCTCCTCCTCCTCCTCCTCCTCCTCCATCTCTCCCCCTCCTCCTGGGAGCGCACCCGCGGCGTGCTGCGGGCCCCGGCCACGAGCCGCCGGGGCACCCGGGGCCTGCTCGGCCGCCGCAGCGCGGCCGCCTGCCCGACTGGAGGCCCGCGGGGCCGCGTCGGGCGCAGAGCGGCGGTGGGCAGAGGAGGAGGAGGGCGAGGGAGACGAGGAGGAAAGAGGAAGACGACGAGGAAGGCGACGAGGAAGACGAGGAAGACGGCGAGGGAGACGAGGAGGAAGAAGAGCAAGACCCAGGAAGACGGCGAGGAAGACGGCGAGGGAGACGCGGAGGAGGAGCAGAGCCCAGGGAGATGGCGAGGCAGACGGTGAGGAAGGCGAGGAGGTGGAGGAGGAGCAGGGCCCAGGAGGATGGCGGGGAGGAGAGGGAGCAAAAGACTCAGGAGAAGGAGCACGACCCGGGAGGAGGAGCAAGACGAGGCGGAGTATGAGAAGAAGAGATGATGGGGAAAGAGACGGAGGAGGGGGCAGGGGGAAGACGAGGAAGATGAGAAGGAGGAGGACGAGGGAGAGGGCGCGGAGGACGAGGAGAGGTGGGCAGAGGCAGAGGACGAGGAAGACGAGGAGGAGGACGAGGAGAGGCGGGCAGAGGAAGAGGGCGAGGAAGACGAGGAGGAGAAGGAGCGAGACCCAGACCTCCCCGCATTTCGAATCAAAATCACGGCGACAGGTGTTTCGCAATGTTTGGCGAGACGGAGGGTGCCTCGGTCCACCATAGCATGGGCGCCTCTTCACGTGTAGGGATGGGGGAGGGGTGGGTGGGGAGCGAGACGAGGGCTTCATCCGTGGGGGATGGGGGGCGAGACGGAGGGTGCTTCGGTCTACCATAGTATGGGTGCCTTTTCACGTGTAGAATTGGGGGCCTCCGGTGCGGTGTCCCTGGCCGGGCCTCGGGGCCGTCACCAAAAACCACTCAGGATGAAAACCGGTCCCAGAGGGAGGGGCCGCCACATCTGGGAGTCGACGTCATGAGCAAATCATGACGTCGGGGGTCTGGGGAGGAAACGGAGCAAGGCGAGGCCGAGTGTGTGGGGAGGGGGGCGGGAAGGGACTCAACGTGATGCACCCCCCATGCATTGGGCGTCGCCAGGGGGGAATGGAGGGGGAGGAGGAGGAGGAGGAGGAGGAGGAGGAGGAGGAGGAGGAGGAGGAGGAGGAGGAGGAGGAGGCGGTGGAGGCAGAGGAGGAGGCGGTGGAGGGGGAGGAGCAGGGGGAAAGAGGAGGGGGAGGAGTCGGAGGGGGCTCTGGGGGCCTCGAAGCTCCCCTCTGGGGCCCCACATGGGCCTTTTGCTGCAGCCCCTCCGCTGCCCGCATAGTAAATCGCCCCCCCCACCCTTGAGCGACGCCCAGCCTGCCGCGGGCCCTCGCGCCACCGGGATCGCTCACGCGCACCTCTGGAGCCCCCCCCCCCCCGCCCTACTCAGCGGTGGGCCCCGGGGGCCACCGGAGCGCTCCGGCGGACCTGAGCCTCGTGGCGACGACTGGGCGACGACGACTGGGCGACGACGACGACGACGACGACGACGACGACGACGACGACGACGACGACGACGACGACGACGACGACGACGACGACGACGACTGGGGAACGGCCACGACGACTAGGCGACGACGACGACGATAACGACGATGACAACTGGACGACGATTGGACGATGACGCCTGAACAAGTGCACGACTGCTGCGACAGCGGTGACGATGCGACGACGACGACAACAATGTTGCAGACATGTGCTCTGATAAGCGGATCTGGCTTCACTTGATTCTCCCTCTCACTTGCACCCGCCCGCTAAGTCCATCGGCGGTGGACAAACCTACCTTTAGTAGACCTCCCCTTAGTGAAAACGGCCTGGGACCGAAACCGACGGACCTGGACCCGCAGAAATGACAGCCGCGACGCCCTCTCGCGAACCGAAAACGGCCAATTCCTTAACCGACGTGTCAGGGTAGGAGGTCTGTCCAACCCCGAGCCCATAGGGCAGCGAACCATGACACAAACATACAAACTCGGAGGTCCACGCGGATTTCTCGGATCGGCGCTGGGCCTCCTCCCTGGCGCGCGGAGCGCGCTGGGGGCGGCGCCGGAGGCGCCGCCAGGGGGGCCCAGAGGGGTCTCCAGCGCCAGTCCGAGAAATCCGCGCGTGCCTCCGAGTTGTTCTGTGTTTATTGGTCCTTCCTCGTTCCCCCAGGTCTGCGCACCAGGCCTCTCTTGTCGAGGGGCTCCTTCTGCTCCCAGCTCCCCGGAGAGACCCCCCGCAGCGCACCCGGTTCTGGGGGCCTCCGGGGCGTCTGCCCGCGCTCACGCTGGAGGAGGAGCGCCCGCTGTTCGGCGAGGCGGCGCCGAAACGCGGGCTTGAGGCGGCCGCGGGCTGGCGTTCTGCGGAGGGGTTGGGGTCCTGGGCTCCCGGGGGAAAAACAAAACTCGGAGCTTAAGCTGTTGGGGAGTACAGTCATCGGCCTGACCTAAGGAACGATAAATATAAGGAACGAAGCCCCTTTTTTATCCCAAGGAATATCGCATAAGGAACGATACATAACACATAACGCATAAGCAAACCTAAGGAACGACCGAGCCCCTTTTGAAAAGTAAGTCTTCCTTGTTCAAGTCGCTCACTGTATCGAGCGGGAGCTGTTGTCGTCGCAGCTGGTTTTTGTCCATTCCCCCCCGCACGGCTTGTGAAGACATCTCGGGCGAGAGCGCCCCTCCTGACTGCGAGGATGCACATGGCCAAGGCGCACACGAGCAGATCACGAGGAGGTACCGCCCAGAGCGAAAAACAACAAAACACGCCCGAAGACCAGCAGAACAGCGCTCAGGTCCAGCCCTGTGTTGTTCCTTAGGCTCGAGGAGGGTGCCGGCGACGCGGACGCGAGGGCAGGAGGACGAAGTCAGGACGAGGAAGGGGGTCCGCGCTGGCCGCCCTGGTGCCTCCTCGAGCGCCGCCCGACGCCAGCGTCCCAGGCGCAGGCGCGGCCCCAGGGTTGGAGGAAGAGGAGGAGAAGGAGGAAAGACGAGGAGGAGGAGGAGGAGGAGGACGACGACGACCACGACGACGACGACGACCACAACGACGACGACCACGACGGCGACGACCACGACCACGACGACGACGACGACGGCGACGGCAACGACATGCTGGTGAGCAGACCACCCTCCCCGCCACGTGTATCGAACGAGCTCAGGTTGCGGCTCATCTCTGAGCGCAGTGGCATTCTTGTCAGCAGTCGACCCTCCCAACACCCTGGTTGTAAACTGTATGCTCCCTCTTACTCCTCCTCCTCCTCCTCCTCCTCCTCCTCCTCCTCCTCATGCTGAGCATGCCATTGCAACATTCTGTTTGGGTGCTCATGAGCGCCATCGGCGCGAACCACTCCACGACTGCAACTCCATATCCTCCTCATCCTGATCGCAAGGCACATTTCGCGCTTCGCGCGCTGAGAATACAAGGGTCTTGGGGCCAAACGTACAGCGCAACGCAGAAGGGGGACGGTGCCCAGATATGCAGGAAGCATGGGTTTCGCAGCCACTGCTTTTCGTTGCTGAAGGTGCGGTCAGGGGCTCTGGCCAGGGTGCGGGGTGCGCAACTCGATAGCACGAACCGACTGCACCTGGATAAACGAAAACATGAATCGATTTCAGAAGGGAACGGTGTGGATTCCGAAGTGGCGACAGTTGCGCGCCTGGTAGCAGCCAGGGAGGGCGAGGACACGCGGGACCTGCGCAAGACACCACGCCGCTGCACCTGTCAGGTTGGCAGACAAGTAGCGAGAGTTGCGCGCCTGGCAGCAGACGTGGAGGGCGAGTCCAGTCGCACCCGCGTAAGGCATGACCTTGCTGCGCAGTCCAGATGCGACACTTGCGCGCACGGCAGCACTCAGGGAGGGCGATGTCGCGATGGAACTGCGAAGGACACCACTCCGCTTGACATCCCAAAGGAGCACCAAAAAGGCCTGAACTCTGGGAAAACCGAACAGTATCCATACCGTTACTCCCCGGACCTCTCCCCAGGTGCGTCCCGACCAGAATCACGAGGCGAATCCAGCGGCGGCGACGAGGGCCTCCCGGGAGGCCCACAGGAGAAAACAAGGGAAGCGTAGCCGTATAATACGGGTACCTTTTCCTCCTCTGAAGCTCTACGCCCAGCACTGCCCACGAGAGGGCGACGCCCAGTGGAACCCGCGTCTGGCACGACCGCGGGGCTCCTTCCAGGTGCGCAGGCACGGTGGCGACACGTGCACGCCTGGCGGCACGCAGGGAGGACGCCGTCTGCCGGGATCTGCGCAGGGGGACAACTCGGCTGGACACCCCAAGGGCGGGCGAAGAGAACGATGCACATGCACCGATCCTGGCGACGTCCATCCTTGACCCAGGATCGGTGCAGATTCCTTCCTGGCCAGGGTGAGAGGGCGTATGCACCGATCCTGGGCTCAGGGTGGGCCTGGCCAAAATCGGTGTATGTGCATCGTTCTCTTTTCTCTACAAGGGCGCAGCAAGGCGATGACAGTTGCGCGCGGGGCATCACCGAGGGAGGGCGTGGCCCAATCTGATCCGGACAAGACACCACTCCGCCGGACAGACCAAGAGCGCGAAGCACACTGGCGACGGCTCCACGCCCTGCAACATGCGGAGAAGGCAGAGTCAAACTGGATCTCCGCACCACACCACTCCGCTGGACCCCAAAGGGGTCAAGTGGCGACGGCTCCGCGTTGGGCAACGCCACGTAGGGAAGGGCAAGGTCTGGTCTTGGACCTGCGCAACACACCACGCCGCTGCACATCTCACGGGCGCGGCAAAAGGGCGGCAGATGCGCGCCCTGCAACACCCGCCAGGGGGAGGGCGACGTCCAGTTGGACCAGCGTTGGACACCCCTTCGCTGCAACTGGCAGGTTCGAAACCGAGTGACGAGACTTGTACGCCTGACAACACCCAGGAAGGGTGCGATCTAGCTGGACCTGCGAAGGGCACCGGCTCCGCTGGACCCCACAGGGTTGCGAGAACTAGGAGTCTGGCAAGACCCAAGTGGAATGAGATCTATCTGGATCTGAGTCTGACACCCCTTCCGCTGGGCCGCTTCATGGGCGCAACGAAATGGTGTCATCTGCGCACCTGTCGGCACCCAGAGACGGCGAGGTGAGGAAGCGATCAAGGCGGGAAAAGAGAGGAGAGAGGAAGGGAGGACGGAATGAGCAGCACCGATCCATTCAAAATTATGCTGACGGAGTTCCCCACATAACGATATCAACGGTGTCGTTGGACCCATGGAGTACGACAACATCAACACGAAGGAGAAGCTCATCGAACGAGTAAGTACGCACGAAAGGGCAGACGAAAGAAAGGAGAAAGGAGGACAGGTGCTCAGGAAACGAAGCCTTGTAAATAGTACGGTTTCTTGATACCCTCCTCGCTCTGGCGGGGCCCCGCTGGAAGGGGGGAGGGGCACGAAACCATGTAAATAGCATGGGTTTCCGATACCCTCCTCGCTCAGGCGGGGCCTCCCTGGAGGGGTGGGAGGGGCACGATACCCTCCTCGCTCAGGCGGAGCCTCCCTGGAGAGGTGGGAAGGGCACGAAACCATGTAAATAGTATGGGTTTCCGATACCCTCCTCGCTCAGGCGGGGCCTCCCGGAGGGACGGGAGGGGCACGAAACCATGTAAATAATATGGGTAACCGATACCCTCCTCGCTCAGGCGGGGCCTCCCTGGAGGGGTGGGAGGAGCACGAAACCATGTAAATAGTATGGGTTTCCGATACCCTCCTGGCTCAGGCGGGGCCTCCCTGGAGGGGTAGAAGGGGTACGAAACCATGTAAATAGTACGGATGTCCAATACCCTCCTCGCTCAGGCGGGGCCTCCCTGGAGGGGAGGGAGGGGCACGAAACCATGTAAATAGCATGGGTTTCCGATACCCTCCTCGCTCAGACGGGGCCTCCCTGGAGGGATGGGAGGGGCACCAAACCATGTAAATAGTACGGGTTTCCGATACCCTCCTCGCTCAGGCGGGGCCTCCCTGGAGGGGAGGGAGGGGCACGAAACGATGTAAATAGTATGGGTTTCCGATACCTTCCTCGCTCAGGCGGGGCCTCCCTGGAGAGGTGGGACGGGCACGAAACCATGTAAATAGTATGGGTTTCCGATACCCTCCTCGCTCAGGCGGGGCCTCCCTGGAGGGTATGGTATGTTATGGTAGGTATGGTATGATATGGAATGGTATGGAATGGTAGGCATGGTATGATTTGGGAGGCTGGAATGGTAGGCATGGTATTGATATGGGAGGCGGGAGGGAGAAGGAGAGGATGTTCTGGGAAGACAAGAACCCCACTCAGGATGTGGGGAACAAAGGACCAACACACGACTAGTGGGAATAAACACGCGTATACACACATGTAAACAAATGCTCCCCCACTGTTGACCTCTCCACCCCCGCGCTCTCCACCAGCCAATGGCAGGGGGTGGGAGACGGGGGGGAGGAGGGGGGATCAGGTCGGGAGGCGAGGGAGTAACGAAGGACGAGGGGACGAACAGGACGATCAGGAAGAAGGACGACCAGGCCGAGGCGGGCAAGGAGCGACAAGGGTGGGCAGATGGGGGTCTCCTCCTCCCCTTCTGTTCCCACCTGCACCTCGTCACTCGTCATGGGGCTCCCGGGCAGCCACCTCTGCGCTATCTCTTGGGGCCCCGTGGGCCTGTGGTGGGATCTCTGGAGGCATTCTTGTGGTTTCTTGGGGCAGACTTGCAACACACAGGCCTCGGAACAAGAATAGCGAACACTCATGCCACATTCACCTGTCAACGCCTTGACCGCAGTCTCCCCCGCGCGTGCCAACTTTGAGTTTGGGGGGGAAGGAGGAAGAGGAGGAGGAGAAGGAGGGGGAGGAGGAGGAGGAGGAGGAGGAGGTGTTCAGTAATTGTTCAGTAATTGTTTCCCTCTACCGGATGTCGGCCCTCTGAGGCTCGTGTGAGGCCGTCTTGGAGATGTCTTGGGAGATCTCGGGGCGCCTGTGGGCCGTCGTAGGCAGCCTTGGGGGACCTCTTGGGTTGGGTCGAGCATGTCCTCCTGGAGGCGGATTTTGGGCGACAAATGAAACGTAGCCCCAAACATGTTCAAACATGGTCGAAAAATGATACATCATATCGTCCCCAGACTGTTTGTTTACTATGTTTGAATACTCCTCCTGCCGAGGGGCACGCCCGACTTGCAGGCAGTCTTGGGGGGCCTCTTGGGCCGTCCTGGGCTCCTGGGGACGCCCTCTGGGGTCTCTTGGGGGCTCTCGTTCGACCTCGGGGCCCGCCGCGGGTCACTTTGGGGCGCCCTTTTGCACCTCCGAGGCCACTTGCGAGCTCAGCGTTGCCAACACGTGCGCAGTCCAACAAGCTGCCAGCACCTCACGAATCCTGTATGTGCTTGACTTCTTTCGGCGGTCCTGGGGCCCCCTTCTCGCGTCTTGCGGCCCTCTTGGGGGCCGTCATGGGCTCCTCCAGAGGCACCCCAGGGTCTCTGGGGGCACTCCTGGTCTACCTTGGAACCCTACTCGGGCCTTCTTGGGGCCCGCGTCGGGTCCTTTTGGGCGCTCGTTTGCACCTCCGAGGCCGCTCGCGAGCCACATGCTGCCAAAACGTGCGGAGTCAAACAAGTTATCAAATCCTCATGACGCCCCCCTTGGTATTCGACTGGTTTGACCAGTCTGGCGGTCCTCTTCCCGCGCCTTGGTGCCATTGTCTGGTCAACCTGGAGCCTCTTGAAACCTCTTTGGCTGCTTTGGAGTCGTGCGTGAGCCCTTTTGGGATTTATGTAGTAGCGCCGTTTGCTCTCGAAGCGCTCAAGTGGACGACGCCGGCACCGCGGCAAACCCACGGCAAGCCCTGCGCCCCGCGCTCAAGCAGACGAAGCCGGCACCGCGGCACACCAACAGCAAGCCAACAGGAAGCCCTTGGTGGGCGCGGCGCCCGACGCGCTACCCAAGGCTCCAGGCCGGGCGTCGGAACTAGCAGCGCGGCGACGTATGCAGGTGGACACGCGGGTCGTCGTTATGGCTCCCGGCCCACGAGGGGGTGGTGGCCATTCGGCGGTCCAAGGGCCAGGCGTCGCGCGCGTGGGAGCTGCAAGCAAACACGCCCCCTCCCCTCTCGGTTCTCCCCCTCGGCGCCTTCCTGCCACTGCCCCCTCCCTGCCCTTTCCCCTCCTCCTCCTCCTCCGGGTCCTCCTCCTCCTTCTCATCCTTCCCCCTCATTCCCCCTCCCTCCTCCTCCTTCCCCCTCCCCTCCCCCTTCTCTCCCCCTCCTCCTCGCTGCGCATCGCTTCGCACTCCCTCTCATGCCACGTGCAATCCACAGCTGCTCACCGGCACAGGGCAGGCCTCGCTCTGGACCTCGGCATCTCGTCTCTACTCCAGCGTCGATGCTAGTTGCATTGCTTGACTTAGGTCGGGCATCTCCTCCTATAGGCGGATTTTGGACGACACATAAAACAGACTTACAACAACCAGGCGCAAACATAGTCATCAAAACGTTTCCAGACTATTTTTCACTAGTTCTGAATATTCCTCCTGAAGAGGGACAAGCGCGACTTAATGCTAGGCACATCGAGGCCGGAACGCCTAACGGAAGGGGGGGAGTGCGAAGTAAAGCCCTCCACTCCTTCGTCCTCCTCCACTCAAGCACGCAACAACAATCATGGCCGTGAGGGTAGTGAACACACATAATTGAAGGTGAGCTCTTGAGCTCTATCATCCTTCCCCTTGCTCTCCTCGTCAACGTCGTTCCCCTCCTCCTCAAACCCTCCCCCTCTCTCCCTCATCCGCCTCTTCCTTCCCCAATCCAAACTCCTCCATCCTGCTTGTCCCTCCTCCGCGTTTCCCACACACTCCAACTTCATCATCTACCCTTCTCCCTCGTCACCCCTCCTTTTTCCCCTCCATCCATCCCGCTCTCCCTCCCTCCCTCATCCCCCTTTCGTATCAGCTCCTCTTCTCCTCTTCCTCCTCACACCTCTTCTTTTGCCCCTCCTCCTCCCCTCCCCCCTAACCTCGGCTGGATTCCCTCCTCTCTCTCCTCGCTCTTCCACGGCCTCTTCTTGCTGTGTCATGCTTATCCTCCTCCTCCTCCTCCCGTTCACGAGATGTGCAGATAGTGACCGAAACCCGACTCCTTGAAGTATTTGGCATGCGCAAGCTTGCTCCCTCGTGCCCAAAGCCCCGCCTCGGACAGAGTCAACTGCTGCTACTACTGCTGCGACTACTACTTCGGCTCGAGCTTGCGCTCGGGCTGGAGATGCCGCCGCACACGCGGGTGAAATCGGTACAGATCGACACCTGGCGACCCCCATCCTTTGCACACTGGAAGGCGACTTCAAAAAAGAGGGGTAAGCGGGACAGAGGGAGGATGAAGGAAGGAGGGAAGCGGAAGGGGGAGGCGTAGAAAGTAGGACGGGGAGTGGGAAAGGGCTCGAGGAGGAGGCCGTAGGGAGAGAGCGTGCAGCGAGAGGGAGAGATGGGAGCAGAGATGGGGGTGAAGGGGAGGGGAGGATGGAGAAGGACAGACGAGTGAGGAGGGAGGAGGGAGGAGTGGCGAGTGTGGGGGGGGAACAGAACGCAGAGGAATGGCGGAGGGCGAGCACCCGGACCAGAGGAAGCAGGGTGGAGGGAGACGGACATGGCCATGAAGGAAGACACCAAACCTGAAAGACTTAGAGAACCAACTTTACCGTCTTAGGTGGGGAGAGGAGAGACTCCTCGTCCTCCTCCTCCTCCTCCTCCTTCTCCTCCTCTGACGCTGTGGACTGAAAAGCATAATCCAAATAATACCCATGCCCACCGAAACACTGGACCACACAACCGCGCAGAGCAACTGCGCGCAGAGAAGCAATGTTCAACTGTCAACCCGTCCCCTCACATTCATCCGCTGCTTGTTTGAGAAGTTGAGCGCCATGTTGCAAGGATTTGGGCCTGGCGCTCCCCTTCAGGCGTGTGCGATGTTCGTGGGACCTGGCAACATACATGAATCGATGGTTGCACATGGCAACGGGGAGTACAAACAGGGCAACATTGTGGTCATACCATTTGACACCGCAATCATGTAGGGGGTACTTCCAAACGCAAGCCAGAACTCTGCACAACCTGGCAACGAGCTAACATCACACAGACGTCAACGCGCAACTCCCCCCACCTCCCTCACTCATGCTCCCCTCCTTAATATGTTTTTTTCTCTCTCTCTCTCTCTATATATATATGTATATATATGCATATACCGGTGCGGCTGCTTATTTGTATAATATGTACATATACGCATGAGTGTTTATGTTATATAGCTTGATATGCAAATACGTACATCTATGTGTAATACATGCATAGTTATATATATATATATAGCATCCCGCAAGTGAGGATAATAATGAGAGGGGCGGGCGCGGCCGACGCGGGCGTCGAGCCAGCGGACCTCGTGGCCCTCACCTTCCCTGTCGATGGCGCTCTCCTCCTCCTCCTCCTCCTCCTCCTCCTCCTCCTCCTCCTCCTCCTCCTCCTCCTTCCTCCTCCTCATATTCTCCTGCTCCTGCTCCTGCTCCTCCTCCTCCTCCTCCTCCTCTTCGTCGTCGGCGTTCTCGTCCTCATCGTCGTCGTCGTCGTCGTCCGCCTCCTCCTCCTCCTCCTCCTCCTCCTCCACCTCCTCCTCCTCTTCTTCCTTTTCCTCCTCCTCCTTCTCCTGGGTCGCGGGTGGGTCGCAGGTTTTCCACCTGGAACGAATGCAAAAGAAGCCCGCCGCACGCGCCGAAAATTTTGGATGGGTCGCGGGGTGGGTCGCGGGTGGGTCGCGGGGTGGGTTGCGGGTGGGTCGCGGGTGGGTCGCGGGTGGGTCGTTGGGTGTGTCGCGGGTGGGTCTCGGGGTGGGTCGCAAATGGGTCGCCAATTCAAAAGAAACCCGCCGCAGGCGCCGAAGTTTTGGCTTGTTAAGTGAACGTAGTTTGGGTCGCGGGTGGGTCGCGGGCTCTCCACCTCCACCTGGAAGGAATTCCAAAACAGCGTGCCGCAGGCGCCGAACATTTTGATGTGTACACTGAACGCGGTTCGGGTCGCGGGTGGGTCGCAAGTTCTCCACCTGGAACGAACGCAACAGAAACCCACCGCAAGCGCCGAAAAAATTGGGTTGGTCGCGGGGTGGGTCGCGGGTGGGTCGCGGTGGGTCGCGGGTGGGTCGCGGGCGGCTCGCGGGTGGGCCGCGGGTGGGTCGCGGGTGGGTATCGGGGTGGGTCGCGGGTGGGTCGCCGATGCAAAAGAAACCCGCCGCAGGCGCCGAAGTTTCGGCTTGTTCAGTGAACGTAGTTTGGGTCGCGGGTGGGTCTCGGGCTTTCCACCTCCACTTGGAAGGGATTCCAAAACAGCCTGCCGCAGGCGCCAAAAAAAATGATTTGTACACTGAGCGCGGTTCGGGTCGCGGGTGGGTCGCAGGTTCTCCACCTGGAACGAATGCAAAAGAAGCCCGCCGCAGGCGCCGAAATTTTTGGGTGGGTCGCGGGTGGGATCGCAGGTGGGTCGCGGTGGGTCGCGGGTGGGTCGCGGGCGGCTCGCGGGTGGGACGCAGGGTGGGTCGCGGGTGGGTCGCCAGTGGCTCGCGGGTGGGTCGTGGGTGGGTCGCCAGGTGGGTCTCGGGGTGGGTCGCGGGCGGGTCGCGGGGTGGGTCGCGGGTGGGTCGCGGGGTGGGTCGTGGGTGGGTCGCGGGGTGGGTCGCGGGTGGGTCGCGGTGGGTCGTGGGTGGGTCGTGGGGTGGGTCGCAGGTGGGTCGCGGGGCGGGTCGCGGGTGGGACGGCGACAACAATAAACAACACACACACACACCAAACAACCACAACAACAACAGTCATTTTAAGACTGTTCGCCCATATCTGCTCGAGTGTCCAATAACGCGTATTTCCCAAACCCTCGATACCCGCCCTCCTCATATTCGATCGAACCCTTTTTGGGGGGTATACCTTTCTTCCCTGCAGGCCGGGCCCCGGCAAGCGGCGGGACGGCCGCGGACCGTAGGCCTGGCCAGCGGCAGCGCTGATCGGCGCGGCGGCCGCGGACCGTCGACCCGACCCCAAGAAGGACGGACAGGGGACCGACCACGACGACGACGACGACGACGACGTCGACGATGACGGCGACGACGAGCGAAAGCGAGAGCGAAAGAGAACGACAGCAGGGCCACGAAGGACACGACGTAGGCCACGAAGGGCGACAGCGGGGACACGAAGGGAATGCGTATGGGGCCACGAAGTGCGCGAACGAGCGGGGGCCACGAAGGGCAGACAATGCGGGGCCACAGAAGGCAACAATGGGGCCACTGAGTGTAGCACCTGGGCCACGCAGGACAGCGATGGGGGCCACAAATGGCGACAGCGGGGCCAGGAAGGGCATGCACATGGGGCCCCAACGGGCGCGACTCCTGGGTGCCTGGGTGTCGGGAGCGCGGTGCTTGGGCAAATTGCAAGAAATTCCAACGCACGGGCGCTATTCTTCAGTAAATTGCAAGCAGGTCTCCAGCGAGAGCGCGACTCCAGAGCGCCGGGAGAGCGACTCCTGAATACATTGTACGGAAGTCCCAAGCGAGAGCGCGAATTCTAAATAAAATGCGAGGAAGTCTCAAGCGGGAGCGGGAGTCCTGGCTAACTTGTGAGGAAGTCTCAGGCGGGAGCCGTTGTTGTTGGAACCCTGGGGCCAGGGGCACAGTTTGAGCCTCAAGATTTTCCCTGATAAAGAACAGGGTGCGAGCGCTGGGAGGGGCACTTCAATTGAAAAAATACAATGTGCACCGGTGGGGGGGATGAACAATAATTATTCTTCAGTAGTGAGGGTTCAACATAAATTCGCGTCGCGGAATTCCACTTCAGCCACGCACCTAGGGACAGTGAATGACCGTTCGGTTCAGCCCCCTCACTCTGATAATATATATATATACATATATATAAATATTATTGGGCCCTCACGGGCCGGACTGGGACCAACCGGGCGGGCCGCGATTCAGACACCCCAGACCGTGCACATGTTTTGCTGTACCAGCTTGCGAATGTCTATGCGTACGTATATGTATATGCGTGTATGTGTACATGTACATGCACACGTATCTATACATACATATACATATGTATAGAGAGGAGACGTCCAGTATGTATGTATACAATGCATCGATTCATCCCCGATCCCCACCCCCTCTCTCCCTCTCTCCCTCTCCAATGCTGCGCGCGCTTCTACTTCTGAGTACGCCTGCCAGATCCGGCCGAAGGCGAGAGGTCAACCCCGTCGCTGCTTCCAAGAGGAGGCCTCCCTGGAGCTATTAGTACGGCGTCGCCCCCTCTCCATCGTCTGCTTGCAAGCTGATGCTGAACTCCCGCACGTCGTCGCCCCGTCGGATTGCTGAAAGAAGGAACACTAAACAAAAAGGACAACCCCTTTTTGGTCTCACGAGCGCCTGCGTGGGCGAGGAGCGCTAGAGAAAAAACCACGGCGACCCCCTTCTGGACCCAAACTGTTCCTGATTTCAGCATCTTGGCTGTAGATTCTCCACCTCCTCCTTCCCTATCTCATCTTTCTCGTCCACCTTCTGGTTTCCCACCAGCGTACAAAACGTAACATCCTTCTGCGTGCACTGCCGTTGCCTGGACCGTCGTCACAGTAGGCTCAGAGATGTGAGGCATACAACAGCTGTTGCCCACCCGAGGTACGCCCGCCTCCTTGAAGGGCGAATGTGAAAGACGAAACTCGGGGGGTAAAGGGACAGCCGCGATCGTGAAGCGGAACTACGTTCGCACTTCTCGGGTCCTGAATGTCTGGTCCCCGTCCCGTGCATTCCCGCTCCTTACGTCGACGACTCGATGCCTCGACAAAAGCGCATCGACATCAATTGGAACAGATTTCGGCGTAATCAGAAAACCTCATGTCGAAATGAATTTGATGAGGGGCTCAGCGTAGACGGGGGGCGCGGCGAAGAAGAGTCACCATCGACCGCTGGCGTCACTGATACAACTGCAGTAACCTTCCTTTCGCTCTGAGATCCCACATACTTCCTCCTTATCATCATCATCTTGGCCCTCGTCCTCGTCCCCACTTGCTCTCCCACAAACTCTCCTCCAGTGGAGGGATGAGCTCGGGTGCTTTGGGTTGCTGTCGCGAGGAGCGAGCGCGGATCTGTCCGCCCGAGCCACAAAACGTTGCGGCGGTTCCTGCATGGAGGGGCAAGGGGCAGCGGGAAGCGAGGGAGGGAATGGAGGAGGCGAACGGGGACGGATGCAGCAGGAGGCGAGAGGGAGCGGCGGGCGGACGCAGAGTCGAACGACAATCCAGATCGAGCGCACCTGTCCCAGTCATGTTCGTCAGCACCGGGGACGAAGGAATCACGTGGTGCATGGCTGCGGTGACGGGAGCAAGAGGAGGAGGAGGAGGAGGAGGAGGAGGAGGAGGAGGAGGAAGAGGAGGAGGAAAACGAGGAGGAGGAGGAGGAGGATGAGGAAGAGGAGGAGGAGGAGGAGAGGAGGAGGAGGAGGAGGAGGAGGAGGGCTGCGGTGACGGGAGCAAACACGACTGGAGCAGGACCCCGAAACACGGGCGAGCCCGGAGGAGCCCTCTTTTTACTCGCCGGGTGGGGCGACGTGCCGAGCTTGAGTGGCAACACTTGCGTATGGTGTCTGGCAGCCCGTCGCTGGATTGACGACCCCCCACGCACACTTCCCACCGCCGGGTCTGGGTGCTCGTCTTCCCTCCAATACACACTTCCCACGTGCTCCCACGTCTCTTCCTGGGAGTCGACGCTTCCTTGTGCCTGCGTGCTCTTTCCCCTCCTCCTCCTCCTCCTCCTTCCCCCACTCCTCCTCCTCCCCAGCCTTCCTCCTCTCTTTCCTCCTCTACTGCTCCTCCTCATCCTCTTCCTCCTCTCTCTTCCTCCTCCTCCTTCTCCTCCTCCTCCTCCTCCTCTCCCTCCTCGCTCCCTTCTCCCTCTCCTTCTCCGAGCAGCTGCCTCAGCAGCGAGGCGCGCGCACTGTTTTCAGCGGCCCCGCAACGTGCGAAATGCAGGTGCGAGGCAGCGCGGCGGCCGTCCCGGGAAAACGGCTGCCTGCGCCGGCCGGTGAAACGGAAGGCAGCCTGACCAAATCGCCCGGACAGCATCGACGAGGTGGTCAGGTGGGCGACGAAATGAAACGCGTCGTACGCAAGATGGCATAGCGACCTCAAGCCACAACTCTCTTCCTCCTTCTCCTCCTCCTCCTCCTCCTCCTTCCTCCTGACGCGGGAAGCTTACGCGCGGCTGTCGGCGCAAGTGACCCCGTTGATCGCAGGCGACTTATCGACCCCACTCCCCGAGCTCCACCCGAAACACTCGGTCGGTCAGGAGGGGGAATACTGGGATCCTCCCCCAGGGGGCTATTCGAACGCATCTCCACCGAGGACGGACACCCCCACTTGGTGTATCCCCGAGATTGGTCTCCAAATTGTAGTTCATTCGAAATCCGACAAAGTCGGGGATCGGTGGGACGCAGAATCACATACTAGTGCTATGTGCCTCTGGTGGAGACGCACGTGCGACCCGAACATGTAGTACAACATCTCGCGGTGCATCGTCACCCCAGCGGTACGGCCAGAATGCGAACGCAACCGAAAGCCACGCACGACGCACACGTAAGATTCGCATGCTTGGGTGACGCCGATGTGGGTCGCCATACCTCGGGGAAACCAAAAGGTGCCGATACCGCCACTCCCTGGACCTCTCTCAGGCCGCGCTCTGGCCAGAACTGCGACGCGCCTCCGGCGGCGGCGACGGGGGCCTCCGAGGAGGCCCCAAAGAGGGGAGTGGCGACGGGGGCCTCCGAGGAGGCCCCAAAAGGGACAGCGGGGAGAAGAGAGGGTAGAGGTATGGGCACCTTTTCCCCCTCTCCTTCTCCTCCTCTTCTCTTCATCGCCCAAGAGCCTCCTCTCCTCTCCTTCTCTCTCCTCTTCTCCTCCTCTCCTTTTCCTCCTCTCCTTCTCCTCCTCTCCTCCTTCTCCTCTCCTTCTCCTCCTCCTCTCCTTCTCCGTCACATATTTTTCGTCGCCCAACTGACGCCGCCCCCCCCCCCCCCGATCTGGGGCGTCCGGCCGGGGCGGGCCGCCGCCGTCCGCGGAGGGGGCCCGCGGTCCGCGCGGGAGCGCCGCGCGCAGTGGGGGCGGCGTGCCGATTCGGAGCGGTGGAGAGGGCGCTGGGGTGCGCGCGGGGAGGCGGGATGGTGATGGTGAGGATGGTGGTGATGGTGGTGAGGGTGAAAACGATGGTGGCAATGGTGGTGAGGGTGAGAGGATGAGGATGAAGATGATGATGGTGATGGTGATGATGATGAGGAGGATGAAGATGATGAGGATGAGGATGATGAGGATGAGGATGATGGTGATGGTGAGGATGCTGCTGATGATGATGAGGATGAAGATGATGCTGATGATGATGATGCTGATGGTGGTGAGGATGAGGATGAGGATGATGATCATGATGAGGATGAGGATGAGGATGATGATGATGATGAATCTGAAGATGGTGATGATGATGGTGGTGGTGAGGATGATGATGATGGTGATGATGCTGGTGGTGGTGATGATGATGCTGATTGTGATGATGACCCTCATATGGTTGCTCATGCTCACGTCGGCAACATCAACATCAACATCGACACCAACCATAATCTCAACATCATCAGCATCATCATGTTCCTCCCCATCGTCATCATTATGATCGTCATGATGAGCGAGGGTAATGGGCGAGGCCCTCTGAGCAGGAGGGCAGGAGGGCAAGATGAGAAGGGTGACGTACCGACTCCAATACAGCTCGTGGAGTCCAGTTCTGCTCGACCACCTCTCGATGACCGAGCCGCCGATCTTTTGAACTCCGAGGGGTCCCGAACAAAAAAATGATAAGAGCCACCACCTGTCCAGGGTAAATGGAGATGAGCAGGGGAGAACAGTGGGGAGCTGAAGACGAGGAGAGCAGGAGAGGAGGACCGGCGAATGAGCAGGAGGAGAGCAGGTCAGGATGAGAAGACAGGGATAGGGGGGGAGGGGTAGTAAAACAAGGATGTGGAGGAGGTGGAAGAGGTGGAGGATGCGGCGAAGGAGTTGCGATGTAGTACATTCGAGCCGCGGTTCTCGTCGTGCTGCTCCCCCGCATGTACTGTATGCACTGCACTGCAAGCCGCGCGTACCCCACGAGTACGAGAGCGAACAACCCCACGAAGAGAAAGCCGACTTTGCATACGACCCCCCAATCCAAGAAGTGCAACGTCGCCGCAAGGCCCAACGCTCAATCACACGACCACGACCAAACGGTCCAGAACTAGATGATCATACCTACCCACAAGAAACGCAACCCACCAGACCCCCTAGTTGGTAACACAACGTTGTGGGAAACAAGAATGCGCAATCGGATGCCTTCGCGGCGTATCCGACGCAAATACAAGTCTTTGCCGCGATATGGAGAAATGGAGGGGGGGGAGGAGCGAGTGGTCCAGCGGGGCCCAGGGGGGAAAGGGAAATATGGAAAGACGAGGGGGGAGACAAGTGAGAAGGGATACTTAGAAAGAGACAAAAGATAGGGGTGTCTGGGAGACCGGGAGGTCGAGATGGATGGACGAGACAGTAGGAGGCAACGAGGGGGAGGGAGAGACATCGAGAATGGTGGGACGATTGCCCCAGAACGGCGGGGCGAGATTCAGGGGATGCGGGAAGAGGAACATTGTAGGACGCGTCCAGAAGAGAAACGGCACCAGTGCCGCAACGATGTCAAATGATAAGGGACATTTCCAGATCGAGAGGCAGAGGGAAGGGGTACAAAGGGGGACGAGAGAGCAACCGGATAGGGAGGGAGAGGGGCGGAACAAGCAGCGCGGGGGTACGTATACACACGTAGGTGTATGTGTGTATGATTAATACTATAGATGTGTATACCCAACTAAAACCACGCGCACGCTTCGCGCGCTTAGGCTCCAGCACATGATCCTTGTAGCCGAAGGTGTTCGGCATCGGAGGACATACAGTGAACACGTTTGTGAAAATCCTCTTGGGTCTTAAGACTCTTGGGAGCTTGGTGCGCCGTCTGAAGGCCATCCTGGAACGTCTTGGGGCCCTCGTGGGACACCTGGGGGGGCATCGTTGGCCTTCCCACGCTGCTCGTCGTCCTTTTGGAGTGCCCCGTGGCGTTGCATCCCCCCACTTCGAGCGATGCATGGCCCCCCCAGCTCTCAGGAAGGCGCGCCCTGCCTTACCAAGCCCCAAGATGTCTCGAAGAGGGCCTCACATAGACCCTAGACGCCCCGAGTTGGCCTCAGGACGGCCCCACCGGATTTAGACAGTGCCCCCCGCGGCCCCCAGGAGGTCCTCCAGAGGCTCCCAAGAACCCCCAAACGTATCCCGAGAGAGCCACCAAGAATCGATCCCATGTCCCCCAAATGGCTCTTACGACGGCTGGGGGAGCACGGAATTCAAGTTCTAGCGAACTCTCCTTTTAGCCAAACGTGTTCGGCATCGGAGGACGTATCGTGAACACGTAGTGCGTTCCTTATGACATTCCAGTTGAAAATATTGGAAGCTTGTTGGGCCGTCTGACGGCCATCCTGGACCGTCTTCGGTCCCCCCAGGCAGCGGTGCCCCGTTGTGTGTATGTATATATTGAGAGACAGAGAGGGAGAAAGAGAGAGAGAGAGAGAGAGACAATTAGCCTGGCGAAGAACCCAACCATATGCAGTTGTCAGTACCGCAGCTGCGGGTTTCATCTTCAATGGAACTCCCCATAGGATTACGGAACGTGTGAGGGGTGTGCCGAGATGGGTGCCACTGGGGCATTCGGCGAAGCTCCCTATGGGGACATGAAACACGCGCGGGGCGTGCCGACATGGGTGGCGGAAACGCATGTGCGGGCCGCCACTGGGGCCTCCAGTGGAGCTCCCTATGGGTCCCCGAAACATGATGCTGCTGCGGGGGGGGGGGCCGGGATGGGTGGCGGAGACGCATGTAAGCGCCGCTACTGGGGCCTTCGGTGGAGCTCCCTATGGGGCCACGAAGCGCGTGAGGGGTGTACTGGGATGTGTGGCGGGGACGCATGTGAGCGCCGCCACTGGGGCCTTCGGTGCAGCTCTCTATGGGGCCACGAAACGTGTGAGGGGTGTGCCGAATTGGGTGCGGGTGGTGACGCATGCGGGCGGCAGCACTGGGGCCTTCGGTGGAGCTCCCCATGGGGCCACGAAACCTGTTGTTGTGAGGGGCGTGC